TTATTTCTTCTTTGCCATTTTGGATGCCTTTAATTTCCCTTTCTTGCTTTATAGCTCTGGCTAAGACTTCCAACACAGTACTGAATAGGTGTGGTGTCTGGTTCCTGTTCCCAAACCATCCTTGTTTGGTTTTTGGTTCAGGTTCTCTCCATTGAGAGTAATGTTAGATATTGGATTAGTATTTATTCTCATAATTATGTTGAGGAATTTCCCTTCTATTCCTATTTCATTGGGTGTTTTTATTAAATATGGATGTTGGATTTTGTCAAATGACTTTTCTGTGTCAATTGATCTGATCATGTAGTTCTTTCTCATTTTTATTTATAATGGTGGATTACATTGATTATTTTTATATTATTGAACCATCCTTGCATCCCTTGAATGAATCCTATTTGACCAAGATGTATTATTCTTTTTGATATGCTGTTAAATTCTATTTGCTAGGATTTTGTTGAGCATTTTTGCATCTATGTTTCTGAAGGATATTGGTCTATAATTTTCTTTTGTAGTAATATCTTTGCCAAGTTTTGGTATGAGAGTTATGCTCACTTTATAAAAAGTATTCAGGAGTTTCCCATCCTTTTCTATATTCCATTATGTTAGGGAAGTTTTCTTCCAACAACTCTTCAAAAAATTTCTCGTGCTTTTTATTGTCTCTCCCTGTACTCGAAGAGACAATAAAATTCCAATGACCCATAAGTTGTTCCTCTTCATGGTGCCCCACATAACTCTTAGGCTTTCTTGGGAATTTTTCATTCTTTTTTTCTGATTGTTCTTCTAGCCTACTAGTATTGAGATATTTATTTTCAAACTCACTAATTCAGGCTTCCATTGCTTTGAATCTAGGCCTTTGCCCTTTCAATATATTGTCCATTTCTGAAATCTTAGTATTAATTTTCTTGAATTCTAATTGCAGGTTTTGTATTGTTTCAAATTTTGCGTTTATTTTTCATCAATTTGTTCTTGCAGTGTTTCCCTGAATTCTTCTAAAATATTTTGTTTTGTTTTACTGTGTTGTCTTTGCTTTTCTCGGGTTTTTTTTGTCAATTCTTTGAAGGTAACTAAATATCATTTTCTTGAATAATTTGTCAGTTAGTTCCCTTACCTTTTCTTCCTCAGCAATGTTTTCTAGGTCTGTATCTTGGTCATTTGTCTGAGTCGTTCTCTCTTGTTTCTTTGTGTGAGTTAAAATGGTGTGTTGTCTCTGGGGTATTGTGGAGTTATTGTTTCTGTATTTAATTTTTGATGTTGCTGTGTTCTCAGTCTCTCACCAACTGTCTCCTGTGGGTATAATTAGGGAATGGAAGTGTGTACATCATTATCCTTTTACTGTTCATACACCTCAGTTTTGGGTGGTTTGGACTGGTGTTGTCTGCTATCTATTGTTGACCAGGTGGTATAGGAACTGGTATTGGCTCTTGCTCAGTGGGTGGAGCTGCAGAAGGTACAGTTTTGGCTACACTCTGTGAGCTCTGTTGCTGTCTCCTATTATGTGGGAAAGAGAAAACCCTTCCTACACACACACAAGAAAAAAACTAGAATAAAAAAAAACAAGTAAATAACAATGAAAAGAGAAAATGATAAAGAGAAAAAGAAATTAAAACAGGCAGCAAACAGAATAAAAGAATATGACAACTATAAAGACAAAAGAGGGACAAGGAAATAGAGCTATAGAATAGAACAATAAGAGAAAAAATAAAAGGCAGAAATTTGAAAAATAGATACCTAATAATAACTAAAAGGAGAGGAGAAAAGAGGGACAGGAAAATATAGGCATAGAAGAGAAAAATAAGAGAGAAAATAAAAGGAAGAAATAAAAAATAATTTAAAAAAAACAGGGAAAGGAAAAATGATAAAAGAAAGAGATTGGAAAGTACTAAAGAAAGATCCAAATGAGGGGGAGGGCAAGAAGAGGAGAAATAAGAAATAGAAGAAAAGAAATAAAAGAAAAGCAGAGAAAGAAAGGATAAAATTCAAGGGAATGGGCAGAGAAGAAGAAGGAGAGAAAGAATAAGCAAACAAAAGCATGAAACAACAAAAGGATGAAAAAAGAAACCCCAAAACAAAAACAAAAAGCCAGAGCAACTATTGAACCTGGAAGGAAAACTCTGCTGGAAACCTGAAATTCAAGGAGCTGACAAGGTGGGTGTGGGAAGGATGTGACAGAGATGTTCCTGGCCCTAGGTGGAGGCAAGTGTCTGGTCTGGTGGCTCTGTATGTCCTGGTGGTCTGAAGTCGATCCTGTCTGAATCCAGGCATCAAAGTGGTATACCAAAGCAGCAAATCAAAGTGGCGCACAACATGGCTCCAAACTCCTGGAGAGAAGTATCTGTGCTGGTCTTGGATGAGGGCTGGAGCTGGCCACACCTCTGGTCCCCAGGAGAGCATGGGGAAAAAGAATGAGTCACACTTTTATTTCCATTCCAGAGGGCAGCTGAGGGTGAGGGCTGACCAGAACCAGCTCTGCATGTCTGCAACAGGCACACCTGATTCCACATGTGGGACTCGGTGCTGGTAGCTCCCCACACACTTGGATGCAACTTCGACAGCCTGGAGAGCAGGAGCTGCTCTAGGAGTACCCCTTTCTCTTCACCAGTAATCAGGATGATTCTGCGCCATCTACTGCCCTCTTGCCTTCAAAGTTGCTCATGAAAGTTCAAGTTGGCTATGCCATGCCTGGCCAACAGAGACAGATCTTTTATATCTTCTCCCCCCAGAACCCACCCCCATACATGTCTGTTCAACTGCTTCTTCTAGTGAAGTCTAGTCCAGGGCTGGATCTGCAGATCCTGCCTGAAGGGGATTAATGTAGCTCACCTCCTTTAGTGGGACTCACAACTGCTGTCCTCACCTCCAGCAAGCTCTGACCACTAGAAGAACAGGAACTTTTCTGGAAGTATATGTGCATGGGGGCCAGCTCTGCCTCAGTTTGCCAGGGGAGTGTGGGGAACAAGAAAAATAGCACCTTCATCTCCGTGAGGCACAGGTATGTTTTCTACAGTGCCCATATGTTTCCTTGTCTCTGAAGCTGCTCACAAAACTCAAGATGGCTGTGCCTGTCTGGTCGGTTGGCACAGATCATCAATCTTTCCTTTTTTGGCTATATCTTCTCAGCTTTCTCTACCTGTAAGCATTTAATTCACTTCAGTATCTCTTCACTTGAAGCTCAAAGTTTCACGACTGTAACCTACATCTGCTTCATTTGGTTTTCCATATCTCTGTTGTACAGCCTTTCTGCTTAGTCCACAGTCTTGCTGTCTCCCCATTGATGTATTTTAAATCAATTTTAGATTGCAGAATTTGGAAAAAAAATCTTAATGTTTTCATCTTTGGTATTAGTGGTTGGTGCATAAATTTGAATAATAGTCATATAAACTAGCCTTCCTTGTAGGCATATGGATATTAACCTATTACTGATGGAATGGTACTTCAGGATAGATCTTGAAATGTTCTTTTTCATAATGAGAGCAACATCATTTCTTTTCATTTGTCATTCCTTAGATAATAAACCATATGATTGTCCAATTCAAAATGGTTAATATGAATCCATTTCTCTCACTATTGCCTAGGATTTGATCTTCAGCATTCTGTTTCATTTTTGACAGCTTCTAATCTTCCTAGTTTCATATTTCATAAAGGGATGTGTGCAGCTATTTCTTCTTATTTTGAATTGCACCACATCAGGTAATCAAGGTCCTGAAAGCTTTATTCCACCCATGGCATATTAAGGTTGACTTTACTTTGAGGAAGCAGCTCTTTCACAGACATACTTTGAATGTCTTCCAACCTGAGAGATTCATCTTCTGGCACTATGCTGGGCTTAGAGGAAAAGTTATAAACAGCAAGCATGCTCCAATCATCTATTATGTGTATGACTTTCTATGATCCACCAGAAGGGGAAAAGGGAGGTATTGGAGCTGGTTCTTCTGTTAAGGAGTTCTCAGTCTAGTGGGTGAGGCAGTTGTGTCTAATAGTAAACATATACATAGTATTATGCGAAAGGGTTGGGAATCACAGAAGAAAATGTGATCTTGCCATTATAATTCACCTTAGATATTATCTGAAGAGCAAAATATTGACAAAACAGGAAGCTATGACACACACTAAAATGTTATATTGTTGTTGTTGTTAAGTACTGTGGAGTCGGTTCCAACTCAATGTCCCCATATAGGGTTTTCAAGGCTTTTAAATCCTTGTGGGATCTGACTATATCATCCTTCTCCCATGGAGCAGCTGGCGGGCTCAAACTGTGGACTTTGTGGTTCCCAGTCCAGTGTTTGTTGCATGGAGCCACTGTGCTCCAAAATGGTACATTATGCAGCCATTGAAGAGTGTAAGGAGAAGCCCTTGGGTGTTGTAAGCAGTTAACATGTTTGACTGCTAGCCAAAATGTTAGAGTTTGTAGTTCACCCAAAGATGCCTCAGAATAAAGACCTGGGACTCAATTTCGGAAAAATCAGTCATTGGAAACCCTATACAGACATACATGGGTTCACCATGAGTTAGGATCAAGCAACCAACATTGGTTTGGTTAAAGGGCATAAGGAGATAAATTTTTATATACAACAAAAATATCTCCAAGACCTATCGTTAAATATAAAATGAAGGGTGTAGGACAATTGTACATTATTTTGATCCCATTTGCGTGGAATAGGCATACAAACACACACACGTACACATTTGTATATCCTTAAAATATTTCTGAATGATTTGTAAGAAAATTGGAAAGAATAGTTTACTTCTGAGAATGATACTGTTCTTTACATTCTATGGCATTGTGAACTATTTGAGCTTTGAAGCCTATATACATGTTTTTGTTTGTTTTTTAATTAAAAGCGTGCAGCACTGGACTGCTAACCACAAGGTCAGACGTTCAAATCCACTAGCTGCTCCTTGGAAACCCTGTACAGGGTTGCTATGAATTGAACCGACTCCATGGCATTTGACAACAGTTTATACATATTTTTAAAGCTTTAGAATTTTTTTAATTTCTGGTTTAGAACATCTTTCTACACATCGTGGACTTGTCTGATCCTAAGAAAATTTGGAAATTTGCTGAGAAATTCAAACAGGACCATAAACTGAACGTTCTGGTAAGTTCTGTAAAGGATAAATCTCCTGCTTATGTATATATATATGATTTTTGTCTATGTGGATATGAATTGGTGTGTACTGTCTGTCACATCTTCATAAGAATCTTTTATGATTAGACTTGTTCAGGTAACCAGCTTTACTCATCTGACCCTAGAGGGGACCCAGCATGCTGGTTTGATTTGTGGGGAGCTTTGCTACCTCGTAGGAGCCCTGGTGGTGCTGTAGGATAAGCACTGGACTGCTAACTGCAAGGTCAGCAGTTCAAACTTACCAGCGGATCCCTTAAAGACTTACAGCCTCAGAAACCCTGTGCACGGTCACTATGAGTGGGAATTGCCTCTTCAGTATTTAATGACAGCAGTCCAAAAGAATGCCTGCTGCAGACAGCCTTTCGTAGCACCATCGACAGAAAGCATCACAGAGAGCCTGAAGGGGATGCAGGTGGAAAGGTCTCTTTGCCCAATTAGTCCTCCTCATATACTCCATGTGGAGTTAAGCTGTTTTCTATGCCAGTATGTGCTCTAGATATCTATTTGGGCAAAGGTCTGAACCGGCACTGTCAGTATGGCTGTTGACCACTTGAAATGTTGTTAGCTGTCGTTGAGCTGGCCCCTGATTTGTGCCAACTCCGTGCACAGTGAAACTAAACGCTGCCCAATCCATTGTAGATCAGATCATGGTGAGCCATAGGGTTTTTAGTGGCTGATTTTTCAGAATAAATAACCAGGCCTTTTTTCCAAGTCTGCATTAGGGTAGAAGCTGCTCGTGAGGTGCATTGGCTGGGAATTAAACCTGGGTGCCTTGCATGAAAGGCCAGGTTTGTACCATTGAAACACTAAAGCCTCCCTTACTTCAAATGTAGGTAGTCTAAATTGAGATGTGCCACAGTGTATTAACAGTAGCATTCAAAGAGCATGAAATCAATATGAGCTCATTTAGATTTTATATATTGATTGTATGTTGAAATGATATTTGGGGGGGCATTTTATTTGGATTCGATATTCTATTAAGATGAGTTTTAGCTGTTTCTTTTTACTTTATTAATATGGTTAGTAGAACATCTAAAGACACATTATTCCTACTGCACAGTGCTGGTCAGGCAGACTCCTAGAGCACTTGACTGTGTAGGAAGTTGCCAGGCGAAGCTCTCATCATCTGAAGTCTCCGCACAGTTTTATGAGTGTAGCCGGGTCTTCTGCTAAGTGGTCTTTTCCTGGATGGGGTTGGGAGGAAAGGGATAGCAGAGCAAAACTATAGTGTTTTGAAAACAGCTTTCGGGGTTGAAATGAGAACTGTAATTTCTTTTGAAATGAAAACTGTAATTTCCAGATCAATAATGCAGGTTGCATGGTCAATAAGCGAGAACTCACAGAAGATGGACTTGAAAAAAACTTTGCGACCAATACGCTAGGTAAGTACAAGCCATTTTCTTGTTTGTTTTTAACAAAATGAACATAAACTTGGACCATATGAGACTAATGAAGGCAAGACCAACCTTTACAAAAAGCACTGACTGACTATTTGGGTTCTTGGTCCTAGGCATGATTGTATTTGCTATATGTTTATCCTTTAATTGCCTTTGTTTTTCTTTATAAAATGTTACTTCTTTTCATATTCCCTGTAAGATGCGTAGAGCTAGAACACTACATCTTGTGTAAGTGTTTTGTTCCTAATTAAGCTCAGGGCTCATAGTAGACATTGTTTTGAAGAGGAGTTTGAAGTTCATCGCAGATGGGCGGTGCAAATATAAAAAGTACAGCCAAAGCTGTGGAAACCACAACCCTTAGCCAAGAAGATGGGCCAAGAAGGATACCTGGCTGGAACACAGGACACCTGGGTGCCATTGATGCTCTGCAATAAGAGGTTCAGTGATGCTGTGCCAAGCAAGTGGTTCTCAAAATGGGGTCCCTGGACCAGCAACATCAGCCTCACCTGGGAACTTTTTAGAAATGCACATTCTCAGACCCCAGCCCACAGCTGCTGAATCAGACAGTCTGTGCTTAGCAAGCCCTACATATGATTCTAATGCACCCTAAAGTTTGAGAACCAATGCCTCAGACTTTTAACCTCTTTGGGTTTTCTCTTTCTTAAGACAGTACCTATATCATTTCCTCATAGTAAGTTAAGCTGCTCATGGGTGTTTTGACTAAGTTTTCTTCTATGTCACAAAGGAGCCCTGGTAGTGTAATGGCTTATGAGTTGGGCTGCTAACTGCAAGGTCAGTAGTTTGAATCCACCAGCCACTCCGTGAGGAAAAGATGAGGTAAGCATAGTGGTTACGAATCAGGCTGCTAACCCCCAGATCAGCAGTTCAAAACTACCAGCTGTTCCATGGGAGAAAGATGAGGTTTTTCTGCTCCCGTAAAGATTTATCGCCTCAGAAATGCTATGCAGGGTCGCTATGAGTTGGAACCAACTCCACGGCACATAACAACAACAACAAAGATTTATAGTCTTGGAAAAACTATACAGGATCACTCTGAGTTGGAACAACTCGATGGCACACAAACACCACAACCACTTAAGTCACAAGATGGGCGGTAAGGGTTCATTTGGTTGCTGGGGTCACTGAAGATTAAGACAATGGAATGATAGACAAAAGCCCAAACCGCATTTCTATTACTGATCAAAGCTAGTTAAAGGGCAGGTGCAGTATGAGAACCCAATGGGCTCCTTCTATTGAACTCAAGAATTAGACACACTCCCCCACCTCTCACAGCTGGCTGGCCTGGGACAGGCAGACATCCTATCCTTGGCTCTGCAGATCTGTGCACGCCCAGTTTACTGTTTACTTAAGCACAGGAGGGGCAGGCCGTGGGTACAGGCTCACTGGAGACAGGAATTATCAAGAGTGGGGACACCGCTCTCTCCCTGGAGGTGATATTATTTTATTTTTTACAAATACCAGGAAGCTTGCTATGAAATGGTGCTGGATTAGTACAAAATAGTTTCATGTTTTCCTTTCTTCCAAGTATGGAATCATGGTTGAATGGACCACAGTGTTGGGCCATGCAGTGTTTAGTTGTAACTCAATTGCAGGGTCAAGCCTCATAGAGTAGCTGTGGCTGGACTCTGGGCAGCTGCTCAGTAAGACCCAGTGCAAAAGAGAAATGGGCCTTGTTCAAAATGTATGAAGCAGGCTCAGCCAGCAACAGCTGAACTTTTAAATGCAGACACTTCAGACTCTAGGGTCCTGACAAAGGCTGCTGCTCCTCTACCCACACCACCCACTGCCCAACACCACTGTACTGAGTGTTGATTATGTGTTGGGTACTAGTGGGTATTATGCATTCATGTTTCATTTAACCACATGACTACATGTTACAGACGAGGAAACAGAGGTAAGAGAAGTTGTATCACTTGCCCAAGGTCAAGTTGAGGAGTTAGAATGTGAACCTCCACAGCCCAAGTTCTGCCAGCCCTCCCTGAAGCCCATCCCATATTATTGTGATAGTTAGAGCTCCATAAAGGGAGAAGCCAGCTGTGCTGTGGGGAGGATGGACCAGGGCTGTGGGTACTTCTCTGGAGTCAAAGGATTGGGATGGAGATCAAGAAGGGACAGTCTGTGTTGTAGCAAACAGTTTGGCGGCTCCTCAGGAAGTGCAACATAGCATTGCCATGTTGTTGTTGTTAAGTGTCTTCAAGTCAGTTCTGACTCATAGCGACCCTGTATAGGGTTTCCTAGGAGCAGCTGGTGAGTTTGAACCACTGACCTTGCGGTTCAAACCAATTTTGTAGTCCAGAGCATTAATCTACAGCACCACACCAGGACTCGTAGCATTGACCTACCATATGACCCAGCAATTCCACTCCTCAGTATATGCCCAAGAGAACTAAAAACAGGAACACAAACAGATACCTGCACACTGATGGTCACTGCAACATTGTTCCCAATAGTCAAAATGTGGAAACCACCTGTGTTCATCAACAAATGAATGGATAAAATGTGGTCTACACACAACAATGGTGTATTAGCCATAAAGATGAATGAAGTTCTGAGATGTACTATACAGCTGGGATGAACCTTCAAAACATTATGCTGAGTGGAATAGGCCATACAGAAAAGGACGTGTAGAGACCAAAATTCATTCGTAGTTAGCAAGGATGGGTGGCTAAGGAGCCCTGGTGGCACAGCAGTTAAAAGTTCTGTGGCTGACCGAAATGTTGGCTGTTCAAGTCCACCAGCTGCTCTGCAGGAGAAAGAAGTGGCAGTTTATTTCTGTAGATATTCCAGTCTTACAAAGTCTTTTGGGCAGTTCTACCCTCTACTATTCCAGTCTTACAAA